GAAGCTGTTAGATATTCTCTGCCCTTGTAGTGTAAATATAGGCCATCCTGGAACTGGTTGGATTCTGGATATGACAGATGACCTTCCAGTCTATTTTGAGCATTACTGTGAAGCTTAGTTGAATTCAGTGTAGCTAAGAGAATTTTGCTATAATGGATTGTGTCAGAGAAAACAAACAATAAATAAGCTTTTTATGATATTTCTCTTCATGGAAGGAAAATCCAACCTGTCTGCATGCCTGCCTTCTTTACTCTTTCCTTCCTCCTACTCTTTTTTTCCTTTCTTACACTCCTTTCTTTCTTTTCAAAAACATACTAACAATTTTAAGAACACTCTGTATACATATGGAAACATTAAATATATTTATCAAACTAAAATTATTTCAGCAATGTCTGTGCTTTACTTTTACCCTCTTATGGCTAAAGCCATGGGTCATTTTGGCTTTTTCCTGATCAATGATATAGGTGATCTTTATCATTTAAGTAGACAACAAAATTAACCTACTGTTGAGGGAGTAACTGTGTTTATTATCTAAATTGTCTGTTTGACAGAATTTATAAGATGATTATCCAGCTCCTAATTTTCATATTAATTCCCTGGTGAAATAGATATAAATTACGTTATTTAAGGAGTAAACTAGCTTTTTATAATCCATACAAAAGTTGAGAAAATTGTAAAATCTTTAAAATCACTCATTGACGTTAAAGGCAAATTTTTTTTTTTTTGTCTATGTAGAGAAATTTTGAAACACATAATCCAACCTGTTCTTTCCCCATTAAATGTCACATGGAATAGGATGGCTTTCTTTCATTTCTTCCTAATTTCTTAACTTTAAATTAAAATTTGCTTTTATCTTTTGCCATACTGCATTTGCTGATTTTCATTTCCTTTTTTACAAGTCAATTCTTCATTTCTTCAAATGAAGCCTTCACAATTATAGTCTGCCTGATTCAGATATAACTATGTGAAATTAATTGCTTTGTTTTAAAAGTGAGGAATCAAAGTTCCTAAAATAAGTTTTGGTATGTTCAATTGAAACTGTTAAAGGGTAGGCTTGACTTTTTTCATATACATAAAATGTTTTTAAAACTATAGTCTAGTTAGATACAAAGATTTGCCATTAAATGCTATAATCTGATTCTTACAGAGGTTCCTTCAATTTTAGAGTTATCTTATTCTGACTCAAGAGCTAACAAAATTATGGCCTGGTACCACTGATGACAGCTCATAAATTTCACCTCATAAATTCAAGAGCATTCTCCTTGCCAATATCTTGACTACAGAATATACTGTTCGCAAAGTTTAACAAAATTATAATTTTCTAACATCAGGAATTGCTTTGAGATTCATCTTTTTAAGAAATTCAATTTCTTCATAGCATGATCATTTGACCTTTTAAACTTAATTTTAAAATATGTCATTTTTATTTTATTTAAAAGTTTTCTATTTTATATTTTCTTGGGAACATATGAAAAATGAAATTTTTAAACATGGTACTAAAGGTTGACAATATTAAATAGAAATTTTATTATCTACTATTTAATCTAAATGTTTTGAATAAAAGTTTTAGGGAATCCAATACCCTTGTATAAAACCATAAGCATGAATAATTTGTTTTAGAGAACATTGTTTCATTGATTTTCATTCCTGTGGGTCTAGTTTTTTTTAAGACAACTAGCATTTAACTTTTTCTCACATGTCAAGGCATTGACTCCATTGACAGGAACTTGACTTTCAATTTAAAAATCTATTTATACAAACTAGGCTACATTATGCAAGGGGAAAAAAGGTCATATTTGCCTAATTAATTATTGTAGAAATGACCACTCTGAAATGATGTGGGCTTGGATTATATATTTATTTGAAAATGAAAGCTTTGTTATCTCCCCCTGAATACTCCATTTAGTGTTTGACAATGCAAGTGATTAAAGATGATTTGAGACCACTGAACTCTGTGATCATAAATGTGCAAAAACTTACCATTCAGTTTTCAAGTTTCAGCCTATATCTTGCCAAGATAAAATTTTAAGAAAAGAATGGAGACAGCCTTTAAAAACTTTACTGAAACAGTTTAGACCTGTACTCTCAAATATCATGTATTAAATAGTCCTCCCAACTGTCCATTTGTGATTAAAATAGCTTAAAAACAGTAAATTCTACTTTCATTAACACGTATCTCGGGGTTTTAAGATAACTAATCTTCAAAGAGTCAGTATTGGGGGTATAAAGGGAATGATTTCTTAAGCATAGATAGTTTTAAAAATGTTTTTGACTTTCCTCTCTCTAAAAGTGAGCAGGTACTTGATGGCAGGGACAAAACTGATGTCCACTGGTACAGATGGTGTGTCCTTGCTAAAACTTTTTAAGGTCTCATTGGCAATTCAGCATACTGGGAATTCCATCCCTCCAAGGGTGTTCAACGGAACTCTTCAATCTAAAGAAATATCTTCCTTCAGCTTTTTTTGTACAAAAGCAAAAGAACTTATACAATCTAAAAAGGAAGCTATTTTAATTCCTAAAAGCAACAAATGTAACAATAAGGCATTTGGGAAAAACTGACCACATAGATACAATAAAAGCTCCAGCTTGTTTTAATTGTAATCACAGTACAGGCCAATATTAAATTGGCTTCTAATAAAAATACTTAACCAGTTCAAATACAAAGCATTTTGAAACCCAAAAAACATGTTTAAAATATACTTTCAATTGATAGTTCTTAAAATATCTAGGAAAAAATTACCAGCATTATCTAATATTTATAACTTATAAGTTAAGCTATATTATTAACATGTGGATGTTTGAATATCTATTTTTTTAGATACACATGATTATTCTTTTAAAAGGCTCTTTGCAGTCAGCTTTAGTCTAATGACTTTGAACCTGCAGACTTTAAAGGTTGCCCAAATTTTCTATGCTAGTTTCAATGATCAAAGCAAGATTTCGAAATAGTATTTTTCACACCTTCAGAATCTGTTTGTGCATAGTTTTCCCAACAATATAACAGGCATTGATTTTATTGTTGCAACTAAGAGAATCCACATCTGGGTAACCATGCCTTTTAATGGTCACACTTCTACATATTGCAATGGCTTGTCAAAGACATACATGTTCTACATTTGAACAAACACTTTCAAAGGGAACTGAAATAAATGTACTTGTAGTAGGAAAATGTAGTTTTCTAGCATCAGAAAACATTACAGTTAAAATTTCTGTGTGCATTGGAAGTGTACCCATCATTTGGGCCTAACACGTAAGTGTATTTAGACGGAAGCAGCCACACATCCAATAAGGGAAAGTGCTTACACATGGGTGAGAGAGTAACATGAAAACTATTATGAATATAACCCCTTTCCATTTGCTAACTTGTAAACCCAGAATTCATAGCCACTTGTGTTTACTGTCCTCTTCTAAAATAACATTTCAAAATCTATGCTAATGCACGAATGCTTTTTTTTTGACACTGGAGTAACTAAGATTAGAGCTATCAATTCAAATTCTATTCAAGTATTAACACTCAACGTTATGGTAGATCATAAAATATATGTGTCATAAATATAATGAGCTTGGATGTTAACATTGTTTACCATTTACACAACTCTGCCCTGTAAAATATTCCCTACTGTCAGATATTCCCTATGCAAATCAGGTATCTGTAACATTTCAACTGGTATTTTGCTACTGATGAGAAACAAAGAAATTAGAAAGAACATGAGAGATGGGAAGAAAAGATGATCAACATGAATAGGTGTTTGTTTCATAAAGACCCTAAGGAGACTTCAATTCTTTCCTGCTACTAAATTCTCACCTAATGAAGAGTTAGTGCACATGACTTTCTAAGCTTTGAAAGGAGAACTGAGGAGAATAACTCAACCTGTTACTGATGCTAAATTCTATTTTCATCCTATTGCTGTGAAATGAGGTATTATCTATGTACTGGTGCAAGGTTAAATGCTGACTGGATTCATTAAAGACAAGTTTGGGTGGTTTGTGTTTTTTCTTTTTTTTTTTTTTTTCCAAATATGCATCTGAATTATGCCAAAGAAGGGAATGTTTTAAGTGGACTCTAGCGTTGCAAATAATCACTCCTGAATAAAGACTAAGAGACCTTTCTTGTCCAAAAACTGGCAGTTTTTACTTTGCAAGTCATTTTAATCAGAAATGCTATTTTGCTTCAAATGTTGGCGATTTTTTCCTGTTTTGTTTGTTTGTTTGTTTTTAATCGCTCTTGTTCTCCAAACCTGCTCCGTAGAAAGAGAGGAAAGGGTTAAGGGTATCCGAAACAGTAATTCATTTCTAATAAAGATTTTGCTTTTCTTAACCGTGCTAAAATAACTAATGTATATTTATGAAGATGCCATTGGGGAAAACTAGACCTATAGATGAATCCAGTAATACAAAATTTGTACTTGTTTGCTTTTGAAAGGTATTTATTTGCAGCGGCATATAACACTTTTAATAAAATGCGTTCATGAATAATGTATTAATTGTTGAAGTGCAGGATGTCCACACACGCAGTATATGAATGTACACTGGATTACACACACACACACACACACACACACACACACCGCGCAGGGTCTATTACTATGTTCCAAAAATGACAAAGAAAAAGGAAAAATAGACAAGAATTACATAATCAGATGTCTTACAGTTTCACTCATCAAAGGGCAGTGTTATGGGTTACGCTGTAGATGAAAAAACAAAAACAAAAAAACACCCTAAAACAAGTTGGCTGAGGTCGAGCTTGCCGCCGGATTTCGCCCGGGGCGAGGAGCCGGGAGGGCGCCCTGGGCGCGGAGGCGGGGGCCGGGATCCCGAGTCCGTCCACCGCCGCCCAAGGGGTCTTTCAGGGGACCGAGCTGGTGACAGTCCTCGGCCAGCAACGAGCCGGC